AGGATGATCTAAAAACTTAAGCTCGCCTCGGATGAGGAAACATTTAGATAAATGAGCCCTAAGTAAACCTCAATGTCGCCAAGAAACTGCCCATTTTATTCGAAGATATGAAGACCAATATGGCTTGACCTTTTGTGTGCTCGCAGTCTCCTATCGTTGTATAGAGGTTGTTTGACCTTGTTTTCGCAACTTGGTAATATTGGTAGGAAGATTTAGAGGAACGCACCTAGTCCGGAGTCCATTGTCTTCATGATTATTTCCAAATTTGAACCGTCGACATGGTACATTCCCAAACGTTTCGTCGGTATCATAGTTGGCATCGTCAGTGAGTATCGCCATTCTTAGCACCACCCAACAACTCGTCAAAGAGACAAGTAAAGCCGATTCTTTGACCAAACGTGTGCTAAACAGTTGTTTTATCTTCCATTATGCCCTGGTTTATTCACATTTCCTATATCCTTCTATCATGCCTTCACTGTTAACATTTTTACCGTATTTACTTCGATGTAGTGTGATGTGCTCCTTTGAGCGGCATTTATGAAAACCCTTCACACTCCAAGTTGTCGTTCTCACCTCCTTCACCCTTGTGCTGGGAATGTTGATCAGAGTCTTTCATATTGTTACGCAGTTCTCCTACCCTAGGTCTTACCACAGTCTCTCTTATTACCGATATTACCGTAGTCTAATTGATGATAAAAAGACCAAGATGTGGCCTCGGGAAGGGTCGTAGAAAGAGACAAGCCTCTTTGATCAATTATTGTGCGGTGGTAAGAATAGCGATACTCACTGACGATGCCGGCGAAATGTTTGGGAATGTACCACGTCCACGGTTCAACTTTGGGAATGATCATGCAGACAATGGACTCCGGACTTGATGCGTTCCTCTTAGTCTTCCTACCAATATGATTAAGTTGCGAAAACAAGGTCAAACAACCTCTGCCCATTTTAATGTTTATCAGATTCCTATATCAGCCCTTAACTTAGCTTAACAGGCCTGGAGAGGCCTAGTTATTATTTGGGGTGGTGGTATTTGGAAATTTATTCATTGCTGACGATCTATTTGATTGAGATAATTCATTTTGTACCGTTCAAGCATTCCGTTCTTAAGCGATCATATCAAAGAGTAAAATAGTTATTTAGGTTTTATGTAACTTAATTGAAGATATGAAGACCAAGATGTTGTGGTCTCTGTTAGGGTCG